GGGGGGGAGCGTAGGGAAAGAGCCTGCCTTTCGCGCAACATTTAATGGGCCTGCTTAAAGGTAGAAGGGGGAGGGAGCTGTTCTTCTCCGAACTGATGACACGTCTGAGACAGGTGTCGATTTGCAGAGTGATGTCTCGGCTGGCGAAGGAGACGAGGAGATGGCCTGAGATGAGAGTTTGGGGTTTTTCACGCCCAGTCCGAGCACGCGTGTGGTGGAGTTTCATGATGAAATATTCACGCGCGCGCGCGCGCGTAAAAACAGTATCACAAGCACACCACCTCACGAACTCGGTTGGGGACAGGCTGTGAGAACAAGTTAGTTAAAGGGTGACTACTGGGAAAGTAACGGTTGGGCGTGGGATGGTAGGTGGGCCAGAAGTCCAGACTTGTTTGAGGCAAGCTGTTCCTAACTGGAGCACATCACTCTGTGCGCTCATGCAAAGAGGGGACTTTAGACACTCCCTGGTGTATTTAATGTTTGGTTCGGTTAGCCTGGAGGGCAATCGAGTTAGCGAAGAATGCGGACACACTTTGTTGATGGTCGTGTTTCACAAAGTAGTATATAGTAGGTATTAGGACTCGTAAAGTACATGCTAACGCTGCTTGACAGGGTTTCCGAAGACAAAAATAACTAAAACTGCAAAGTAGAACGCCAGCGAACATGAATCCAAGCTAGTCTTTACAAGTTATCATACCGGCTTCCATGTGGGCAATGTCACAGGCAAATTGGTAATTTGCACTCAAAATGAATTATTAGTACGACAGGGTATAGACAGTTTTAGACATTTGTTTCAGAAAAATCTATAGCGTAAGATTTAATAACCACGAGAAAGGGCATAATCAGAAAGCAGTTAAAAAATTAGAAAAGAATTAAACACTTTCAAAGTAGAGATATTGTCTTTCGTCACGTATAAAAGGGCTACTTAAGTTCCCATAAACTAGACGAATGAAACTAATTTTTTGTGCCGTCAGAAGACGCTAACAGAAGCCCTTTCATCTCCGAGACCGACGCCAGGTGGCGATCGCATATCGCCCCCCACCCACTAGTGACAGTAATTATCACTTCACACACCTGACCCACGACCAACGGTCACAACCTATCGCGAGTTCCTCCCCTCCCCCTCCCCAGTGCAAGGATGAGTCGTACTCAAAGGACCCTTGTGAACCATGTCCAACTGTACGATTTCCATTCTCCTTGCAATTTCACTGGTCTGATGATGAATTGCTGAAAACATATGCTTGCCGAATAA